AAGGTTCCATTGTATAAGAATTACACTGCACTTTTTATTTCCTCCCTTATAATGTAGTAACCAAGATTAAATATGACGTTCAGCAACATTGCTCTGAATTAAACATGAAGTTTTTTAATAAATCAGGAATGTCACAGTCTACTGGATTATTTCATTTACTTCATATAAATCCATCCCATAGGATAAAAATACAATGGAAACATAACATAGCATTTGTAAACAGTAGCTGAAAGCCAGGTGTGAAGCAGATTTATTATCTGCATCTGTTTCCTTCTTCACCTGGCTGTAATTTCCACAACTATATATACTGTATATATATAAATTGCTAGATATTGTACTCCATATGTTTGAGGCAGCAAGTTGTAATCCATAAAAGCTCACATTGAAATAGGCCTGTTAGCCTTTAATGTACCACCATGCTTTTACTTTCATTTTTGTTGACACAGACTAACATGTCTAAACTCTGAATATTCTATTTTGGGTTAACCATCTCTACTTTGTCTTGCATGGCATTAGTACAGTGGATCCTTGACTTACAGACGGCTTGACTTACAGACTTTTTGAGTTACAGACTTCTCTGGCCACAAAATTTAGGTTTGACTTGCAGCCCGAGAATTGACTTACAGACCAGAAAAAAACCAAAATGGAACAAAAACGGCCTGTTACGGGATTAATCGGTTTTCAATGCACTGTAGGTCAATGGAGACTTGACCTACAGACTTTTTGACTTGAGAACCGCCTTCCAATACGGATTAAGTTCTCAAGTCAAGACCCCACTGTATTACAGGCACAGGTGCAACTTTAGTTCAGTCTAATTGAGTGTGTGCGACTGTGGTACTGTCGACTGTGGAGAGGAATTGGTGAGGTTGCTGGAGTATATATTGCCTTTTGAATAACTGTCGACAACTGTAGAAGATGAATGTTCCATTGGCCCATAGATGTTCCATTAGAAGTGTATGCAGTGAACAGAGACTTTTACATCCACCCTGAATATTATTTTTTAAAAAACCTGTAACATGGAAGCAATCTATGCACATGACTGAATGAATGAGTACATTTGGACAAAAAGAACAGCCTCTTTCAATAGATGTTCCATAAGGCAGAAATCTCTTAACATTTATGTCCAACCAGTGGACATTTGGAGCTAATAAACAATGAGCTCAAGTGCCTAAAAATTATTAGGGATATAGGCTTGGAGAGCAAGGCTGAAGAAAGACGTAGGGAGATGGGGTATTTAAATCTTGTGAGTGGAATATGGATGCAGCAATAAGATATGGTACTTGTTGGTACATCGCAAATCATTTTCTGTGGAATTCAGGGGAGAAAGGAGGATTTAAGGGGGAGAAAACCATATATACATTTCCTTAAGTAACAGTAGGATACTACTCTTCAGTCCCTGTAGCTTCATATATATGAGGGCTTCAGATCACAAATAATGGCTATGTTGCTCAAAGCAGAACTGAAAAATGATTCAAATGGTGTGGCCAGCTGACATTAAATTCAGCAAGAAACGACTGTAATTTAGGAATGCCAGCTGTGCTTCTCTGTGGCCTAGTTCCAAACTCAGAAGCAGGGGGTAAAGCTTCATTGCAGGATTCATTTGAACAGTTTAGTACAAGTGGTGAAATCACAAGACTTGGCATATTTCCTGACAAATCTCTTTTGTGTGAGTTCTTCCACCAATCCTTCTTTTAATTTATATCCAGTAGGCTCGAGGAGATTTTGACAAGTGTTCTCATACTCCACAAAAGCAACTTAAGAGCACATTAAAAATAAAGAGAACTGTTTTCATTCAGTTGAACAGATGCACTTGGATATTTAATTGTTTTGTATTATAATTATATATTACATTTGGCAACATCAAGAACAACAGGAGCATTAGGACAGAAGTCACTACAAATTCGAAACAATAACAAAAGTGGCGTTAGTCCAGAAGAATAAAACATAATCTAAAATCACAGGCAAGCAATATCTTGACTAGGATCAACTATAAATACATTAAGTCCTAATAAAGGTTTTGCTGCCTGTGGATTTTGGATTTTAGTTCTTCTGTCTTCACAAAGCAATCAAGCAAGCAACACATAAGAATATTAGTGCAGATTATTCCAATCATTGCATCCCTTTCTTCATCTGTATTATTCTGCAATTGTCCTTATTTGTGACAGACTTAAGAGACACAAATTCAGGGTGCTTCCAGACAGATGGTTCCTAGCCCTTCTAATCAAAGGACTCTGAGCAGCTTTTCCATTGTTCCCTCAGTTTTTTTTCGGGGGAGGGGGTGGAGCAGGTTGTGGAAAGACAAGAACAAAATAAGTGATGAGAAAATATAAAATGGTTCCAAAGTAATGGTGGGAGAGAGGGGATTCCCCACCTCATGCTTGGTGTTGCACAGTCTGATTTGCAACACCATAAATCATATTATAATTCAAATAAATATTGATTTAAGATTAATTTTGAAATTATTACATGCATATTGAATTAATTCTAGAAAATACTTATTTTACTACATGGGGGCATATGCATATAAATATTAACCATAAGATAAAATATGGCATTTCCCAGGATTTTCTAATATTTTTGTTGGAAAGCTCCATTTGCTTGCTTGCTTGCTTGCTTGCTTGCTTGCTTGCTTGCTTGCTTATTTATTTATTTATTTAAATTTAAAACTCTGCAGATTCTCTTGAATCTCTTGGTGGAAGATATAAGATGTTATCGGGAAAATTCTACAATATCCTAATTTCAGTCTTGCAGGGGAGAATTTCCTCTCCACTGGATAAAATCACAATTTATGTTCATTTTTTCCTCTATTTTGGCACTCCCCCTCTAATAAATAAATAAATAAACGAAGGAAGTGGGTTTCTTTTGGTTTTGTTCTGCACAAAATCCATGTATGTTTCAACAGCTGTCTTACTTCTCTAGATGCTAAATGTGCCTTAATTCAGTGGAACACTTGTGCTACCAGCAGTTGCTCAATAAAAGCAATGTTAAGAAGGGAAGACTCAAAAAAAGGCAGGTATGTTTTTGTCACAATAACCTTTGTAGCCACTACTTATGCTCATTCTCAACCACTTACCTGGAACATTAAGTCTGTGTGCATAGTACTTCTCATAAACTGTAAGCTGTGATAGAAGTTTGTGTTTACCTCAGTTTCTCCTTTTCCACTCTTGACATGGCAGCCTCTTCTCTGGGACAGAGCTGAGCAATCGTAAGCACTCCAGGGGCCCCATACACCCATTCCTGGAGCTTGAAAGGCTACATCTGATCCTACAGTTCCCACCTGCCCACAAATTTACTTCTTAACAAACTGGTTTCCTTATGAATTGATTTTCTTAGGAAAATGTTATTAAAGGTCACTTTAAAAAAATAAATAAAAATAACATTATGGATGTGGAGTGCTCAGTTATGCCCAGGATCCCTGAAAACATGCAAAATTGTCCTCTTCTTAGAAGCACAATTTTCCATTTAAAAAAATAATAGTTTTGAAATGGGGAGTCAGGAGATCTGTAGGGCTTAGGGGCCCGACAGGACTGCATGTAACTTGTGGATAACATGCCACCCACTACACATAGAATCACAATCTGAAATTAACTTCCAGAATGTAGAATCTACTAATTCTTCCTAGTTTCTATCCAGGTCTTTATTGCTCATGGAGCTGAAGACTTTGGCATTATTATATCCAGGAAATAGGGAAAATAATGCCCCTTGGGCTCAATATAGTGGTGCCTTATGACAATAATCCGTTCCAGAAGATAGATGTAACTCGAAATGGTTGTATGTCAAAGCACCATTTCCCATAAGAATGCACTGAAATGCAATTAATCCGTTCCAGCCAAAGGAAAAAAAATCACTTCAAGACTCATTGGAAACACGATTAATCCCTTCCAGCCGAAGGGGGAGGGAGAAAAGCAATCAAGCGTGCAAGACCAATCGGAAATGCACAGAAAACAAAGGGACCAGGTTGGAAATGCAAAGAGAGCAAAGGAAAAATCAAGGGAAGCATTCAAGACCATCAGAAATGTGGGGAAAACCCCAAAAAGCAACCAAACCCCCCAAGACCCACCGGAAATGGGGGAAAAGCCAAAAAACAAACAAACCCCCCAAGATCCATTGGAAATGGGAAAAAAACCCAAAAAGCAACCAAACCCCCCAAGACCCATTGGAAAGGGGTGGGAAAACCAAAAAACAAACAACCCCCAAGACCCATTGGAAATAGGAAAAAACACTCCAAAAAGCAGCCAAACTCCCCAAGACCCATCGGAAATAGGGGTAAAAAACCAACCAACCAACAAACCCCCCAATACCCATCACAGCACAGAAACATAACCCCCCCAGCCCAAAGCCACACTGCAAAAACACCCAGAACAGTTTTTGAAAAGCAAAAAACAGCACCTTATCTTACCAGGCAGCCTTCTTTGATCACACACTCTAACTGCTGGGGTAAAAGAGCTACAACAAAACAGCCCCATTGCCACCTACAGTTAGAAATTTTAATTTCCACCTTTTTTCGCTGTCTTTTTCTGTTTGTAAGTGGAAGCTCTGGTCGCAAGTAGAAGCAAAATTTTGCAGCTGGAGCTGGCTGTAACTTGAAATGGTCGTAAATAGGTACGTTTGTAAGTCAAGGCACCACTGTACTGTATATGAGTTCAAGCTTACAGGTAGGCAAACAGCAGATTGCCATGTTGAAAACAAAGGGACCTCTCCATGTGGAATAAACTCTTGCATAAACAAATGGACTGTTATGCACACAGTAAAAATGAACACAGTTTTAGTGTTTATTAGCACCTATGTGCAAGAAAGAACATATCTGGGACATCAGTAGATTGTCCAGCAAAACAGGTGGGATATATGTTTCCAACAATCCAACCAAGTCCAATAAATAAATAGTTATAGCTATAGTTATAGATATAATGCAGGATGGGCAAAAGTATGTTAAACACAACAAAAAAGTTGTAGGGCTCTACTTTCTGCATAAAAAGAGTGTTTTGGGTTTTTTTACTTACATAATCCAGTCAGTAACAGCAAAGGGAGTTGCATCCATTACTACAGGTTTGATGAGCTGCTCTGCGCATTAGCATGGAGGCTAAAAACAGAAAAGTAAATTATGAATACATGAAACACACAAGTCAGAGCAGTGATAGTCAGCCCCAAACTGTCTTTAGACTTCGAGCCATAGGTAAGTAATAGTAATTAACTAGCACTCGGTTTAGAAGTAAAACTGACTCTTGCACAACCTGCAATAGACCTGCCATTGTGTAATGATGCAGTGAGTTGTCTTGTTGCATACATTCGCATGCCAGAGGTCCACCTACCTCAGTGGATTTAATGCTAACAAATTCAAACTTTTTCTAAGTTTTTCAGCAGAAGATCAGCTCCATAATTAGAAATGAGTATTTCATATATGCAAAACATGCACACTATGCTTGAACCCTCTATCAGCTGACATGAACCTTCTATATACCCAGCACCCTTTCTCCCCCCCATCTCTCTCTCTCTCTTTCTCTCTCTGTCTCATGCATACAGTGTTAGAACCATTCTTTTATCACAAACATATTATACTTCTATACATCATTTAAGGAATATTTATTTAGACCTCAATGGACCATTAAATGTCTATGTTATCTCATTTAGGGATGTATGGGTATTTAGCTTATAGCAGATAATATACTTACAGAAAATTATAAAGTGTGATGATACTGTTCTGTAATAGAAGAAAAATTTCTTCCTACAGACTTACTGTTTTAAGTGAATGGGAAACAGACCAATACCAAACAATTAAACTCGATAATAAAATGTATGTTTGCAACATTTTCACATTTCTAAGATGTAACATTATTGTAATTTTAATTGCTAGTATGTCAGCAATTAAGGTTAGGATTACCATACTAAACATATTACCTTAGCAGCGTGTGATTTTAACAGAAATAATATACAGATTGCTGCTCTTAGTATAAACATGAAATGATTTGTTCTGAACCAAATAAAATGTTTCAACAAAGCATAATGTAGTTCAAATGTAGAGCATTTTTTATCCTTTAGCTAACTTGTTGGCTAAAATCTTGTTGCTTAAGCACAGTAAATCACATTAGACAAGGCCAAGTGAATCAGTGAAGATTTGATGAGTTACCCCCTCTGTAAATTCGATTAATTCAAATGCTAAAGTAAATAAATAAAGTAAATACTAAAGTAAATCACACCTAGAATAGGCTGATTTGAATCAATTGAATTTATGTTGGATTGACTCAACAAATCCTCACTGATTCAATGAGCCTATTCCAGTTTGACTTCTGGACCGGGACCAGATGAACTGCATCCGAGAGTACTGAATGAACTGGCTGAAGAACTCTCAGAGCCAGTATCCATTATTTTCTTGATATCATGGGAAATAGGGGAGGTGCCAGAGGATTAGAGGAGGGCTAATGTTGTCCCTATCTTTAAAAAGGGCAAAAAAGAGGAACCTGGGAACTGCAGGTCAGTCAGGCTGACATCAATCCCAGGCAAAATTCTAGAACAGATTGTAAAGCGGTCATTGTGCAAGCACCTAGAAAACAATGCCGTAATAACTAGAAACCAACACAGATTTGTCAAGAACAAATCCTCCCCAACTAATTTGATCTTGTTTTTTGAACAGGTCACCTCCCTGATAGAGAGAGGGAATGCTGTAGATATAGTATATCTTGACTTCAGAAAAACTTGTGCCCCATAGTATCCTGATTAGCAAGCTAACTAGGTGTGGGTTGGATAGGTCAAATGTCAGGTGAATACACAGTTAGCTACAGAATTGTACTCAGAGGGTGATGATTAATGGGTCCTTCTCTAACTGGGAGGAGGTCACAAGTGGGGTACCCCAAGGCTCAGTCCTGGGCCTGGTGCTCTTCAATATCTTTATTAATGTTTTGGATGAGGGAATGCTTGTCAAATCTGCAGATGATACAAAATTGGGCAGAATAGCTAATACCCTGGAAGACAGAAACAAAATTCAAAATGACCTTAATAGGATGGAGCACTGGGCTGAAAGCAACAGAATGAAATTCAACAGGGATAAGTGCAAAGTGCTGTACCTCGGAAAAAGAAACCAATTGCACTTACAAGATGGGGGATACCTGGCTCAGCAAAACTATGAGTGAGAAGAATCTTGGAATTGTCGTAGTTCACAAGCTAAATATGAGCCAACAGTTTGATGTGGCTACAAAAAAGGCAAATGCTATTTTAGGCTACATTAATAGCAGTTTCCAAATCTTGCGAGGGGCTAGTCCCCCTCTCTTCAGCACTGATTACGCCTCCCCTTGAGTACTGTGTCCAGTTGGAAATTGGAACAAGTTCAGAGCAGGGCAACAAGGATGATCAGGGGGCCGGAAACCAAGCCTTATGAAGAAAGGCTAAAAGAATTGGGCATGTTTAGCCTTGAGAAATGAGGACTGAGGGGTGATATGAGAGCACTTTTCAAATATTTGAAAGGCTGTGTCATACAGAGGAGGGTCAAGATCTGTTCTTAATCATCCCAGAGTGCAGGACACACAACAATGAGCTCTAGTTAATGGAAGCCAGATTTTGGTTGCATATCAGGAAAAACCTCCTAACTGTGAGAACAGTACGACAGTGTAACCAGTTACCTCGGGAGTTGGTGAATACTCCAACATTGGAGGCATTTAAGAAAAACTTAGGTAATCACCTGGCAGATATGCTTTGATTGTATTCCTGCACTGAGCAAGGGGTTGGACTTGATGGCTTTGTAAACCCCTTCCAACTTCATTTTTCTATTATTTTCTATGATTCTATGACATACTATGATAAGCAACAGGACTTCAGTCATTGTCTGTGAACCACACTTGATTTTATTATTTTGCCAACTTTATATTTGATTTTTCTGCCCCCAATTGACACTCAAGGTAGCTGGTAATACACAAACATGGAAATATAGTTATGACAAATCAATGAGATGAAATAACAGTACATAACCAGATGGGAAAAATTCTACAGCCATTCAGACAAAATGCTGAAGGCTTCTGTGAATTAAAACATAGTTTTCCAGGAAAATAGAGTGATAGTTCCAGTGTCAGTTCTTACAGTCTAAATCATCCATTGCGGACCGGGGGTTGATGACCCCTGGTCTAAATAATCCATTCTCAACTTGTTTCTGGTCACAGCCATAAACACAATATGAAAGAAATATGGATGTAATCAGGATTGTACAAGTCACCTAAAAATCTTATAAGACAGTATGTGAAGAATTGTTTCCAGTTAATACCCTCCTTCAAATTTGCCAGTGCCCTTCATGAGGCCATACATCCCCCATTGAGAGTGACTGGTCTAAATGATATGTAACCGTGAGACTGACTATATGGGTATTTGGCTGAAGTTTGGTCTGCTGCAGGGATAGGCAGATTTGCTCCTAAAGACTTTGATCAGATGACATCTTCACTGGTGTGTACCAACTTTCCTTTTTACCCCTGTCAGGGACTTCTACTTTTTGGTGATCACTCTGTATGACTTGTTTCCAGCATGTGTAATTCTGCTTGAGGGCTGGTCAACAAAAGCAAAGAAAAATCCCCCTTATTACTCACTTCTGTTTCCTCCCATTTCTGGGAGTATGCTTTCCATTTGACTTTTTTAAAAAGAAAAGTGATATGTGCTGCCCTAATAAATTTTTAAAAGCAATTTCACACCCTCAGCCATTAAACAGAGTCAAGGAAGTGTCCAATTTGCTAATGTCCTGAATGGCCTCTCTTCTTAAGACACTTCACAATATTGACAAATTGAAAGACAGCAAAGCAGGGTTGCTTGAGGTCTATATGACATTTTGATGCAAGGATTGCACCAAATGGTATTCTGGACCTACTAGCATTCCTATTTAACCACATCCAGCCAGCTCCAAAAGGAGCATGCAGAGAAAGTCCTTAAGTTACAAAGAGGAACTTACCACCGCAAGTCTGCAACCCTGCCCCAATAGCTGCTTTTAAAAACCAGGATTGGCAAGGGTCAAGCACACACTTTAGGGTGTCATCTCTTCAAATATCCTATCAGGCTGCACAAATGGAAAATTATCCATTGTAGCTGAACAAGCAGCCACCAAAGCTGTACTTTACAGACCTGTACCAACTATGACACCCACATTAATACAGATGTTGGGAATTTTATCTTCAAAATGCTGTGAAAGCTAGTCAAATGAAGTGATCAATATTTTCTTCTCATGGACTAGAGTGTAGTATGTCTGTTGGACAATGTTATAGGGCAGTGGTTCTCAACCTTCAGTCACCAGATATTCTAGAACTACAACTCCCAGAAATCCTGGCCAGCACAACTTTAGTCCAAGGACATCTGAGGACCCAAGGTTGGGAAGTACTGCTATAGGGTAGACCTTCAAATAATCTCTAGCTCATTTTGTAGTCTGCCCCAAACGTTTACTTTTCTTTTACATTGGTAAGCCAATGCAAAATAGTATTTCTATAATAGTGCGAGATACCATTTAGCCATTAAGGGTAAAACCAAAGAAAACATCTGCTCCACAAAACACAGTTTAAAGAACAAAGCATCACATTTATGGGAAACAAGATAAGGAATAATAAAAACTACTGCCTTCCCTTTTCTAATGTGTGTAGAAAAGAAAATAAGAAATGTAACGATGACACTTATGTCTGCTGGACAATAATAAATAAATAAATAAATAAACCTTCAGTCACCAGATATTCTAGAACTACAACTCCCAGAAATCCTGGCCAGCACAACTTTAGTCCAAGAACATCTGAGGACCCAAGGTTGGGAAGTACTGCTATAGGGGGAAAACATGATTCCTTCATCCTTACCACAAAGGGTAGACCTTCAAATAATCTCTAGCTCATTTTGTAGTCTGCCCCAAACGTTTACTTTTCTTTTATACTGGTAAGCCAATGCAAAATAGTATTTCTATAATAGTGCGAGATACCATTTAGCCATTAAGGGTAAAACCAAAGAAAACATCTGCTCCACAAAACACAGTTTAAAGAACAAAGCATCACATTAATGGGAAACAAGATAAGGAATAATAAAAACTACTGCCTTCCCTTTTCTAATGTGTGTAGAAAAGAAAATAAGAAATGTAACGAT